AACAGCTCAATTTTTGGATGAGCACCTTCGAAATATATTTCAAAAGGTTATATAAAACTCTTTCAAATCAATTTTAAAGGATTATCTGGAGATAAGCTCAGATGCTTCTGTGAATAAACTGATCATTTTGGTATTTTTTAAGCGCTAATGAAGCTGTGATTATCCTCATTAAATGCTGAGAAACAGGTGACACTATGTTTGCTTTTGCCTGACAGAACTTGCAGGAGGTCACTGCTGAATATGCAGGACTTAGCAGGGCCTGATATGCACAGGAAATCCCTGATCTTCAGCGGCTTTGCCCTCGTATGGGGCTTGCTGTTTGGAATATTTTTCACAAGTGTACCAGTGGTAGCTTGTCCCACAAGCTGTCACTGCGTGGAGAAGAATGGCTTAACCGTGGTCCAGTGTATGTCTCGTAACCTGGAGAAGATCCCTGCGGATCTTCCAAGAGATACTGTTATCCTGCTTTTGGCATCCAACCACATCACCCACATCCCCCATCATGCCTTCAAGGAACTACACTACCTTCAGGAGCTGGATCTGTCTAACAATGACATAAAGACCGTGGACGCTGGAGCATTTCAGGGTGTTTTTGACAGCCTCCTTGTACTGGATTTATCAAACAATCGCATCAAAAGTGTCCCCAAAGAGGCATTTGCCCGCCTACGAGCAAAAATCAGCCTCTCGAACAACCCGTGGCACTGTGAGTGCACGCTGCAGGAGGTGCTGAGGGAGCTGCAGCTGGACCCGGAGACGGTGAACGAGGTGATGTGCCACACGGCCGTGAAGGAGGAATATGCCGGCAAACCACTAATCCAGGTGCTGGACTCAGGGATCAACTTCTGCAACTTTCACCACAAGACAACTGATGTAGCCATGTTTGTAACCATGTTTGGGTGGTTCACGATGGTGATCGCGTACGTCATCTATTACGTGAGGCACAATCAGGAGGATGCCAGGAGGCACCTGGAGTACCTCAAGTCACTGCCAAGCAGCTCACAGATCAGCAAGGACTTTGACACCATCAGCACGGTTCTCTAACAGGCCTGGTGACTCAGGAGGTGTAGTGTGTGTGTGTGTGTGTGTGTGTGTGTGAGTAAATGTTTGGTTATGTTCAGAATGACTAAAAAGCTATTGCAACACATCATCACTTATGTTTTCAAGCACATCATAATCATTGGGTGTCTATAATAGAAAATACTGAGCTGCCCATAAATGATGTATTTTACATTATTCCCAAACATTTGCTTTGGTTTTATGTAATATACGTAAATTGTTAAAGCCCCCAACCAAACAAGGCAGCAATGAGAGCACAAAGTGAGCAAAATGCTGCTGAAAGTCACAAATCCACAAGGAGTAATAGATCCAGAGTGGAGAGATGAATGATCCTTCCCTGGTGTCGATCCTCCATGTGATTGAATTTGGACTGAGACGAATGAGGAGGACTACAGTGTCTCCCAGTTACTTTGTATCGACTGATTTATGTTCTTTGTGTCACTCTGTCAAGGTGAAGGCTATTTTTTGAGACTCCTGCTAATATGTGAACACGATCAAGATGTTAAAATTCAGTTTGTATTGCACACGCAAAAACCATAAAACGTCCATAAGTAGTTTATGCACATTTCTACTCTCACAGAGTAATTCCAGCACAAATTTAAGTAGGTATGACAGTTTGCCACTTAACTTTGCCCATCAGAGTATGCTTGTAGCTCATATTCATGAAGCCAGGACGGTTTGCCACTTCATTTTACCCGTTAAAGCATGCTTGTAGGTCACATTCACAAAGGTAGCATGGTTTGGCACTTAATTTTACCCGTCAGAGTTTGTTTTCTAGCTCATATTCACAAAGGTAGGATGGTTCGCCACTTAATTTTAGCTGTTAAAGTATGCTTGTAGGTCACATTCACAAAGGTAGGACGATTTGGCACTTAATTTTGTGTTGTGCGCATGCGCAGAAACAACAGGTAGGATGGTTTGTCAGGTAGGGTGGATTCCCAGAACACCGGCCCTGCCTTACAAAAAACCTTTACACATCAAACTGTTGGCCCAGGAAATAATATTTTTTTTTACTTCATGAAGCATCTTGTCATGTTAAAGAGTATTTAAAATAGGAAAGCCTGCCATGCACTTACAGCTCTGATATGTTTTTTCTGTAGAAGACTTAATCCTTTCTGGTCTAGGTTTAATGTCAAAGAAAGTGAAAGGCTCTGATCCAACTTCTTTATTATGTAAGGAAGTGAAATAAAAACAAAATTAGCACACTACAGCGCATCATACATCTCAAAATATGAACCTAGTTTCTCCGATCCCAATGACTTTTGGATTTTCACAGGTTGATAACAAACACTTACCTTTTTATATTATAGGCAACATACAGAAAATGCAAAAATATCTTTACGCACACTCTATGTTGCATCTGTTTGTATTTTAGCTGCCTGGTCTCAGCAGTCCATGATGCGACATAATGCGATTTATTTTACAGTGTACATGGATACAAATTTTCAGTGGATCTTAATTGGAAGTATGTTTAATTTGTGCACCTCTTAAATTTCCCAGACTATGCTGTAATCAGACTGATCACTAAAGCAACACATAGAAAATTTCTTATTGATAAGCTAATCTCTATTGTATGACTTTCAGTCAGTTATACCTATTGCTACAACACTCCAGATGTCAAACCCATGGTTTCAAAATTGTAGTCCACCGATGATCAGATGATGTCACAGCGGCCACGTCCGTCTTCTATATACGACCCATGATTTTATCCCAAACGTTGATCTTTTTCAGCCAGTGAATTAAATTCTGAAGTGCAAAAATAATAACAAATACACCCAGAACTCTAGTTCTTCACCCATTCAAAATGGACATAATTCAGTTCCTGTTCATTTACATAGTCTTCATAATTTACCTGCGGATTCATTTTACAAACTGCTGCCAGGCTTTGTTGCACATTTACACACAAAATAATTAAAGATTTGTGTACATTAATGTGGATTAATAAATTCAGTTCTTTCATTAACTGACATGAACTGCAATGCTGATGCAAAATGACCTTTCCTAACTTAGTTTTTTGCTCCGAAGGGTTTTATAAGAACAGTAAAGTGGAACTGAATACTTAATCTGGAATTATTCTCATCTGAAAATAATATGTCATCGTCTTCAGGAAACTATGCAGATAAAGCTGTAACTTACAGAGACCCAGTTAATATCTTCAGTTTGTGATTCTTTACAAGAATGTGTCCTTTTGTGCAATCAAGATCAGTGATGGATCATGGGGCAGATATTTGGTCAAATATTCTGATAGCAATGCTTTGCTGCCTTGTCCCTTAAGAATCATGCCATGGGAACTTCTGTCACTTAAAAGCATCTAAAATCAAATAACTGATAATTGGGTTCAGACACAGGGGCTACAGCTAATGAGTACAACATGCCCAGTTGTGTGAATGATAAGGTGATGCCTTATTTCAATTATTAAATTAAGTCTGAAGGATAAGTTAATCATGGATCGGGGACATCAGAGAATTCACTGAAAACTAAATTCCTTTCCTGTCAGTTTGTCATCCTCTTGTGTTGCTTTTATCAATCTTTTATTGAGAGTCTCATGAGTTTTGCTTTTATCTGCCGGCTTCACAGCCTCACGGTAAAAAGGCAGAAACAGCCTGAACAGCATCACCAGAGTATATTCTGTCTGCAGCCAATAAATCCCCCAAACTGCAAAACATTAGGCATGTTCTGAACACGCGATTAGAGCCGTTTTACCTGTTTGTAAAAAGACTTTGCAACTCAGAAATTAAATGGTCTGTAGATTATTATTTTTATTTCTTTAGTCCTTACTGGTGATTTAAAAATACTGTCTTCATTCATTTATTTTGCCTAATCATGGTGTTTATTTTTGGTTTTTGCAGAGTTTATTCCACATTTGACTTAATCTGTTTATTACTGTACCAGAAACATCTCCAAACAAATTGCTTCTATTGGGATTAATAAAACTGTTTATACCATATTGTGTTGTACAATACTGATGGCCCAATGTGCGCAAATCTCAACAATGTGTCTGCTGGATCTGTGTCAGGCAGGTTGATTTGGTCCTGTCAGGTTTGAAATGGAGAACAATGCAAGTAGCGTTACCCTGCAGCCATATCTCCAGACTCTCTGTCCAGATTATAAAAACCCAATTACTGAGCTAAAACACCCACAGTCTAGTCAGAAATCTCCAGATGTTTGTCACTGTGAGGGAGCCCTTCTGCATTCCTGCATTACACAACCTTCCGATTCAAGGTTACACTATTTTGTGATAACCTGACACAGTAGCAGTGGCCTGTATAGAAGGCAAGAATTCGCAGCCACAAGGTGTTAAGAATATTTCATGGGGGTTTGACAACACACTCTGACACAAATGTGGTAATGATGCTGAAAATGGCTTTTGCTTGCTAAAAAATATGCATCACCATCCATCCATCCATCTTCATCCGCTTTATCCGGGGCCGGG